TTTTCTTCTCTCTCCTTTGCTCCGGATGGGAAGAGACTAATAGTTACATCATGGATGGCTTCTTAAAGCTTTAAGATCCCAGGCGCTACTTATCGAAGTAGGACTTTGTCTTTGTGGACTGTTATGCCAATTGATCTAGTTGTCTCTTGAGACTATGGTCCTAAGCCCCAAAGCCTAGAGACTCATTCCCTCAACATGTTTGGTAATGGCTAAGAAATTTTCATAAATTTACCATATATATAATACAAATACATATATAGAAATATTTGAAATGACCAAATCCTAATATACTCATGGGTGTAGTCTCATTTTCCCCATTTGCTCCTATTCTGCATGCATGTCTAACTGTGTATACACTCACAAATCATTATTTATTATTACTGTTATTGCACGATTGTGTATGTAATAGATTTAACTTTGCTGTCTTTTACTCTTCTGCCTTTCCCTTTGTGTTCCTTTGCTGTTTTGTTGATCTTGTCTTTATTGTATATTGCTTTGCCCTTAGCCCAACTTAATACCTGTCTGTACCCTATTTAGTGATTTCTCTTCCTTCCCTTGGTAACCATCTTAGGAGTTCCACCAGTCTCTTTCATACCAGTAAGTCATACATGGTAACCATCAAAGAATGCTTTTCCAGTATATAAACTTTTTTTTGGGGGGGAGCTCTGGTGGTGTAGTGTCTCAGGCATTTGACTGCTAACCAGAAGGTTGGCGGTTCAAACCCACCAGCCACTCCTTGGAAGGAAGGTTGGGCAATCTACTTCTGTAGTGGTACTGCCTCGGAAACCCAAGAAGGAGTCTCTATGAGTCAGATCTGACTCAACAGCAGTGCCTTTTTGGTTTAAACTTTTTCTTGACTTTTTGTCATCGTATTCTCATACAATATTTGTGCTTTTGTGATGGCCTTATTTCACTCAGCATTACATCCTCCAGATTCATCCACGTTATGAGATGTTTCATGGATTCATTATTACTCTGTTGGAACTGACTTGATGGCACCTAACCACAACAACATGGAAGTTCTGTTTAGTTTTCTGAGGAACCACCATGCTGCTTTCTACAATGGCTGTACTATTTTGCATTCCCACCTGCAGTGGAAAAATAAGAGTTCCAGTTTCCCCACATTCTTGCTAACCTTCATTATTTTCTTCTTCTTTTTTTTTTTTTTCCT